ATCAGAATTTGGCAATTTGGCCAATTTCAACAAAATTCAAAATATTTCAATTTCAAAATAGGGTCCAGAATAAACAATGCAGACATTCCTGGCACTAAAATAACATTTCCTCTGTTTCTCAGTTATGTTTCCAGGCTTTACAGATGTATTCCATTTTGAGTTTGATTTACATAAAAATTTTATTCACACCAAAAAATAGAAGATTTACTGTTATGCAATACTGCGATAATTTTTTTTTTTCAACAAGTCGGCCGTCTCTCACCGAGGCAGGGTGACCCAAAAAAGAAAGAAAATCCCCAAAAAGAAAATATTTCATCAACATTCAACAAATTTCAACTACTACACATAATCATGTTTTTGCAGAGGTCTCAGAACACAACAGTTTAGAAGCATATACGTATAAAGATACACAACATATCCCTCCAAACGCTAATATCCCGAAATCCTCCTTTAAAGTGCAGACATGTATTCCCATTTCCAGAATCAAGCGCTATATAAAATACGTAATGGTTTCCCTGAATCCTTCACTAAAAAGTGCCTGCCGCACTCCAAACAGCTCGTCAGGTCCTAAATACATTCGCTCCATTCACTCTATTTAACACGCTCACGCACGGTTGTTGGAGGTCCAGCCCCCCCACAAAAACCTCCTTAACCCCCTCCCACTCAACTTTTTCTAGGACGACCCCTACCCCACCTTTCCTTCCCCTACAGATTTATACTATTCCACCATGTCATTTCTACTTTGAACCATTCCTCCTAAAGACCAAAACCACCCAACAACCCCTCTTCAGCCCTCTGACTAATCTTTTATTAACTCCACACCTTCTCCTAATTTTTCCACACTCAGAATTTTCTGCATAATATTTACACCACACATTGCCCTTAGACAGGATATCTCCACTGCCTCCAACCACCTTCTCGCTGCAGCATTTACAACCCAAGCTTCACACCCATATAAGAGTGTTGGTACTACTATACTTTCATACATTCCTTCTTTGCCTCCATAGATAACGTTTTTTGCCTCCACATATACCTCAATGCACCACTCAACTTTTTTCCTTCATCAATTCTATAATTAACCTCATCCTTCATAAATCCATCTGCTGACACGTCAACTCCAAAATATCTGAAAACATTCACTTCTTCCATACTACTACTCCCCAAATTGATATCTAATTTTTCTTTATCTAAATCATTTGATACTCTCATCACCTTACTCTTTTCTATGTTCACTTTCAACTTTCTACCTTTACACACACTCCCAAATTCGTCCACTAACCTTTGCAATTTTTCTTTAGAATCTCCCATAAGCACAGTATCATCAGCAAAAAGTAACTGTCACTTCCCATTTTGTATTTAATTCTCCATAATTTAATCCCACCCCTCTCCTGAACACCCTAGCAATTACTTCTTTTACAACCCCATCTATAAATATATTAAACAACCATGGTGACATTACACATCCCTGTCTAAGACCTACTTTTACTGGGAAGTAGTCTCCCTCTCTTCTACACACCCTAACCTGAGCCTCACTATCCTCATAAAAACTCTTTACAGCATTTAGTAACTGACAAACCTATTCCACATACTTGCAACATCTGCCACATTGCTCCCCTATCCACTCTATCATATGCCTTTTCTAAATCCATAAATGCAATAAAAACTTCCCTACCTTTATCTAAATACTGTTCACATATATGCTTCAATGTAAACACTTGATCTACACATCCTCTACCCACTCTGAAACCTCCTTGCTCATCTGCAATCCTACATTCTGTCTTACCTCTAATTCTTTCAATAATAACCCTACTGTACACTTTTCCTGGTATTCTCAGTAAGCTTATTCCTCTATAATTTTTGCAATCTCTTTTGTCCCCCTTCCCTTTATATAAAGGGACTATACATGCTCTCTGCCAATTCCTAGGTACCTTCCCCTCTTTCATACATTTATTAAACAAAAATACCAACCACTCCAACACTATACCCCCCACCCTGCTTTTAACATTTCTGTCATGATCCCGTCAGTTCCAGCTGCTTTACCCCCTTTCATTCTACGTAATGCCTCACGCACCTCCCCCATACTCACATCCTGCTCTTCTTTACTCCTAAAAGATGGTATGCCTCCCTGACCAGTGCATGAAATTACTGCCTCCCTTTCTTCATCGACATTTAGAAGTTCCTTGAAATATTCCTGCCATCTACCCAATACCTCCATCTCACCATCTACTAACTTCCCTACTCTGTTTTTAACTGACAAATCCATTTGTTCCCTAGGTTTTCTTAACTTGTTTAACTCACTCCAAAATTTTTTCTTATTTTCATTAAAATTTCTTGACAGTGCCTCTCCTGCTCTATCATCTGCTCTCCTTTTGCACTCTCTCACTATGCTCTTCACCTTTCTTTTACTCTCCATATACTCTACTCTTCTTATAACACTTCTGCTTTGTAAATCCCTCTCATAAGCTAACTTTTTCTCTTTTATCACACCCTTTACTTCATCATTCCACCAATCACTCCTCTTTCCTCCTGCACCCACCCTCCTATAACCACAAACTTCTGCCCCACATTCTAATACTGCATTTTTAAAACTATTCCAACCCTCTTCAACCCCCCCCCCCACTACTCATACTTGAACTAGCCCACCTTTCTGCCAATAGTTGCTTATATCTCACCCAAACTTCCTCCTCCCTTAGTTTATACACTTTCACCTCCCTCTTACTTCTTGTTGCCATTTTCCTCTTGTCCCATCTACCTCTTACTCTAACTGTAGCTACAACTAAATAATGATCTGATATATCAGTTGCCCCTTTATAAAGGTGTACATCCTGGAGCCTACCCATCAACCTTTTATCCACCAATACATAATCTAACAAACTACTTTCATTATGTGCTATATCATACCTTGTATATTTATTTATCCTCTTTTTCATAAAATATGTATTACTTATTACCAAACCTCTTTTTACACACAGCTCAATTAAAGGCTCCCCATTTTCATTTACCCCTGGCACCCCAAATTTACCTACTACTCCCTCAACATTTTTACCCACTTTAGCATTAAAATCCCCAACCACAAGTACTCTCACACTTGGTTCAAAACTCCCCATGCATTCACTCAACATTTCCCAAAATCTCTATTTCTCCTCTAAACTTCTCTCTTCCCCAGGTGCATATACGCTTACTATAACCCACTTCTCACATCCAACCTTTATTTTACTCCACATAATCCTTGATTTAGTAAGGACATAGGAAAGTATTGGTTTGGAAATAGGGTAGTTGATGAGTGGAACAGTCTATCTAGTTAGGTTATTGAGGCTGGGACTTTGGGTAGTTTTAAATTTAGGTTGGATAAATATATGTGAGAGGGGTTGGATTTGAGTGGGATAGAGTTATCAGAGCTTATTTCTTGGGTAGCATTGAAAATTGAGTTGGGCAAATGTTTTGTTAGTGGGATGGATTGCAAAGGACCTGCCTAGTATGGGCCAACAGGCCTGCTGCAGTGATCCTTTCTTATGTTAAGTAATTAATACATTTATAGTCCCTCTTTTCCTGCCATAGCTTATCCTCCAACATTATTGCTACTCCTTCTTTAGCTCTAACTCTATTTGAAACCCCTGACCTAATCCCATTTATTCCTTTCCACTGAAACTCGCCCACCCCCTTCAGTTTTGTTTCACTTAAAGCAAGGACATCCAGCTTCTTCTCATTCAAAATATCCACAATCATCTCTTTCTTATCATTCGCACAACATCCACACACATTCAGACTTCCCACTTTAACAATTTTGTACTTATTCTCTTTAGTAATTTAGCAATTGCAATAATTGTATACATAATATCAGCACATTCGTAAATGTATATTAGACCCACTAGTTGACATGTATTGGATGCGTGACTCCATTTGTGTACTCTTAAACATTGGCAAAAATCGAACATTTCCACTACTTTGAGCTCAATTTCAAACTATTTTCAGTACTAAAACCAATCTGTAATATATTTTCCATTCTATCAAATGAGACCAAGAAACCGTAAATACAAATGTAAGAATCATACAAAAATACCGCAAAGCCGGTGTTTCAATCCAAAAACATGGTCACATTTTTTTTCTCATTATGTACTGCATGCTGCAGGATTTGTTTTATATGGTGCACCACATAGCTGCATTCTCTCATATCTAGGCCCAAATTTATCACTCACAGATTATCTAAGTGAGCTGAGCTCATGACATGGAACTACGGCTTGGACCCTCAAAGGGTTAATGGTCGCAAGTCAGACTGAAACACTCGTATGTTTCATTCTCCTATGTGTAGTTTATCTGTGCATCTTTAAGCTAGGGTCAACTGTACCTACTTACTGTACTTACATTATAGTGACTCATTACAATGTAATAATGTATATATTATAAATGTTAACACTGGTGTCACTGCTTTTATTACCTACAATATTATTACACAACTAATATTCTCTTCTATAAAGTACTGTATCAACTTTCTGTCATGATACCAACATTATTATTGAATAATGTCCTCGGATGAGCACAAAGCACAACATGATTGCTTTACTGAATATAAATTTAGAGTGTGAGCGTTCAGTGGATTGGAACTAAGGTAACATTTATGGCTGGCTAGCAGGACTTGAGTCCTGGAGGTAGGAAGCACAGTGCCTGCAATGACGATAGCTGGGGATGTTGCCATTTGGAGGGTAACTTCAACCATGATGTTTGTAAACTTCTGGCACAGACAGCTATTGGATGAACGATGGCCAATGTTTCAATTGTAGGGTCACTCTACCTCAGTGAAAAATGGCCGACGTGGCAAGGAAAAAAACTTGCCATACATATCAGGTCACTGTAAGTTATGTGTGATGCAGCTTAAATTCAGCCAACAAAAATTAATTTGTTGATCTACATCGTGCCCAGTTCCCCACTTAACTATAGACATACTGTATGTGATAAACAGTAGTTTAGTAGTTAGCCAATAGTTAAATAATTCTGCTACGAGCCTTTACTGAGCACGCTGTATACAGGTTAATGTTGGCAGTCATGGTCTCCTCTCCAGGGAAAGAGGTAGCCGGCTTCCTTCCATGACGACTTATTTTGTTCAGGATGAGGAATGGATTACCGGGCAGCAGCATTTGCTATGATAGGCATCACTAGATTAGCTGATGAACAAGATGCATCAGAAAAATCCAAAAAACAATAATTATAATAATAATGATCATAATTACTAAAAACAAAATATATTAATATAGAGCTTTGCTATGCAAATTTAGTACGTACTTCTACAAATACTAGATTTTAAAAGTTTAATGAGAAATTAGAAGCAGCTATAAGCAAGCCTTATGTCAGACATTAAATAGGAAATTAGCTAGAACAACAAACTAAATACGTAATTCTAAGTACTGTCACTAAACCATAAAATATTTATTTTATAATGTACTGTTAATATAGGTAATCTACTAAAAATATTATTACTGATAATATCAAAAGTTTGTTTAGCTGCCCGGTAAAAACCACAGTAGAAAAAAAGCCAGAGACTTGCAACATAACGTTATCTTAAGGGAAGGAAGGCGAGGCAAGGGTACTTTTTTTCATGCTTTCTGGCTACTTTAAGACCTGTTGCTGGAGAGAGAGAGAGAGAGAGAGAGGAAGGAAACTTACCACAAGATCAGCAACTATGAGATCTTGCTTGAGATATTAACAGGAAAATCTTCAAAGGATAAACCAAGAATAAATTAACTTTGTATACATCCCAACTCATCTACATAACAGCTGATCTAATGATAAGCAGCAGCAGCAACAGCAGCAAAAGGAAGGGATTCAGGATTGAGAATGCCCGTCGCCAGAAATGGTATTACCTGGACGGAGCCGTGGCGGTCTGCTGGGGTGAGGTTGCCGCCTAATATGTTGCCTGCCTGCTTGGGGGTTTCGGGCCAGGCTGCCGTACCCTTGGTGCCGCCCTGTAACATGGCCCCGTGGCCGTGTGAGATGCACACATGCTACAATAACCACCACCAGCTTTGCATACCACCTAACTATGTGGTAAGCAACAAGTGAAGATACACTAAACCATGTAACGGGCGATGTCTGAACCCATGGTGAGTGAGTTGTAAAACTCCAGGCCAGTGTGTAGGTCATTCTGCCAGCTGGCCACAACAACATTCATCGGACTATGTATATTTCTATATACCACAGGAAGGTTAGCATGAGCCACTACTGTGACCACAAATGCAAGTTTTTACAGATGAATCTCACACCAACGTGGCCATCATACTCTAGCTCAAGTCCCTTCAAAGCCATGATGATGGCAGCTTTGAAGGGACTAGAGGTAGAGCACACCACAGCCATGCTGATGGGAGATTCATCTGTAAAAACTTGCATTTGTGGTCAGTGGTGGCCCATGCTAACTTCCCTATGGTATATATATATATACCTAGTTGAATGAATCTTATTGTAGCCAACTGGCCCAGAGGCTTGTGCACTGGCCTGGAGTTTTAACTCACTCACCATGAGCTCAAATTCCACCCGTTCCCTGGTTTGTTTGCAATCGTGTTATAACGATTTCATGAGTCTTGAAGATACAGTGAATGTCAGAAATGTAGTCCACCTAACACATGACTACTCTGGACAGCAACCAAACTCATCACTGCACTCATCTCTGCTCTCACAAAATATTAACACATACATTTTTATATATTAATAGCCTAAATCTGTTGAGTGCATCTCAGCATACTACATTCCAACAAACTTTCACTACCTTCAGATGAACTCTGAGAAAAAGTAGAATACTAAACACCCTGTAAAAAAAAAATGAGTCTAATACAGTTAACACAAATCTGTAACCTACATTAGGAGAGATTCATAAACTGAATCTACAATTAAAACTGCTAAGTATCTTTTAATTATTATTCTGATGTAAACAGCCAGCTTTCTTAACAGTGTTATATTTGACTACATTTCCTCTAATAGAGTTAAGCTGCACCTGTATAAGTAATTCTTAGAACAAGAGTTATATAGTGAATATTTTTTGTGCCAACAATAACCTAACCTACATTAAGCAACTCTTCAACATGCCTCACCCGTAAATCCACTCTGCATTTCTCCTGATAATATTAAACAAGCAAATAAAAAATAAATACATTAAAATAATGCAATATAATAATAAATAAATAAATAAATAATACAATAATAATAATAATAATAAACAAGAATACAAGACTGTGCACCTTTAATAACCCCTTCATGGGTCACTTTTATGAAATTATGCATTTCAACTAATTATTATATATACATTTTATTCTATAAGACACAGTATACTGAAGTCAATAGATGATATATGTTGTAATGGAAATGTCATATAAAAACTAAAGAACAATTAGCATATGCATATTACATACAAAAGTCAAAGTCTTGATTATCCGAGGTATCTGCCTGCTGAACACATACTCCTGTGGGAGAGTCTAATTCATTCTTGTTTATAGCAGCATCAGTCAGTCAGATATAGTAGCTTTTAAGAGAACAAGGAGGGGTGAGGATGTTGCAGTTCAGAGGATCATCTGAACTGTCACATCTGCACACTTCTGCCAAGACAATACAGGTGCTCCTCCACTTATGGTGGGGTTACGTTCTAAGGAATCCATCGTAAATTGAAAATATCGTAAACTGAATATGAATATATACTGTCACTGAATAAAACAAATAATTACTGTAACTAAATGTCAGTAATGAAAAGTAAATAAATGAATACAAGCTTATCCTAGAAGGAGGCGTGGTGGTCAGGTTGCATCACTGATCATGACAGACAGTTGGGTCAGCTGTTCAGGTCTACCTGGAGTACACCTCACTTTTTTCTCCATGGGTAAGTGGAACAGAATTCTTCCTCCGTAAGCCATGTGTGTCGTAAGAGGCAACTAAAATGCCAGGCCAAGGGGCTAGTAACCCTTACTCCTGTATACATTACTAAATTTAAAAAGAGAAATGTTTTGTTTTTTCTCTTTTGTTTACCTTAGGGTAACCCTGCTTTGATGGGATACAGCCGGTTTGTTGAAAGTAGTAGTAGTAGTTTATCCTATCAAAGTTTCATGACCACTGAATGTGCATCACTACTGCACCATCATGAAGTCAAAATATTAAAAGTCGAACCTTCATAAAGCAAGGAGTATCTGTAATTGAACAGGTCTCCCCTACTCTCTTTGTTATACTGAGTGGCTATTTTAACAAGAAAAATTATAATATGACCATTTAAAAATAAATTTGGTTTGAAGCTGTAATATTAGGACAGCGGAACCTTAAATTTCGAACTTAATCCGTTCCAGGAGCTAGTTCTAAAGTCGAAAGGTTGGAAAGGCAAAGCAATATTTCCCATAAGAAATAATTGAAATACAATTAATCTGTTCCAGACACCCAAAAACATTCACAAAAAAATACATTTTATAGATAGTATTACATTATAGTTTTACATACATACAACAAATATAGTGTACAATTATTAATAAATTTAAATAAACATAAAAATAACATTTTTACTTACCTTTACTAAAGATTGGTGATGGCATCTGGAAGATGGGGAGGAGGAGAGAGTTGGGGTTAGTGTTTGGAAGGGGAATTCCCCTCCATAAGGACTTCAGGTATTAAAGCCCTCTCTGGGGTTACTTCCCTTCTCTGTCTTTTAATGCCACTGGACCCCTAAAATAGGACATGGTTCTGTCACTGAACTTGTTACAAAGATGGCTTGTTTCAGCTTGCTCAGGGTGGCACTTCTGCACAAACATTTGGACATCATTCCACTTGGCGCAAATCTCCTTAATCTTCGAATCGGTATGCAACTTCCTTGCCTTTTCACAAATAATCGTCTCTGAAACACTATCACCTGTCATCTCTTTATCCTTGATCCACACCAGCAACAACTTCTCAACCTGATCAACTATCTATGGTCTTTTTTTGGTTAGCCTATCAACATCTTTCGCAACATCAGCTTCCTTGATTTGTTCTTTCTTTAAGAAAGCCAGGATAGAAGCGATGGTCGACTTGTTTTTCCCGTACATCCTGGCAAGCTCAACTCGCACACCACTCTTATACTTCTATATTATTTCCTTCTTCACATCTATGGTGTTTCTCACTTTCTTTACCACAGGGGTACCACTAGCAAGTTTCTTTGGGCCCACGATAGCTTATTTCCCAGTTCCACAAGCACTAAACACAATGAATTAATCGTAAGATGTTTGAATAAGACTGCAGGTTAGTGTTCACTCAAGCATCAACAAAGCCAGATTGGCTCACGGTGCCTGCCCAGGGACGCGGACAGAGCGGGCTGGCGGACAGGTCCTGTACCTGGCAGTTCGAAAGAAGGGGCGAGTTCGATAATAGGGACAAAGTTAGTTCGAAAAAGCGGTCGATTTTCGAAGAGTTCGATAAGCGACACGTTCAAAATCTGAGGTTCCCTGTACAGTGGACCCCGGTTATGGTCCAGTTTGGTTATCGGCCAACTCAGTTATCAGTGGGTTTTTTGGTGCCTGGTTATTAGCCGTTCGCTCGGTTATCGGCGGTTTTGGACGCGTCCATCCGCCGGCTGGGGCAGCTTGCGCTTCAGTTTGGCTTTGTCTCTCGGTGGCTGAGGAGGCTTCTTCTCATACATCCAAACATTTCACTTGTTTACCATTGTTTTTAGTGGTTTTCCTTGCAGTGCAACTGTGAAAAAAGTAACCATGGCTCCAAAGAAAGTTCCTATGGTAAAGAAAGTGAGAAACACCATGAAATTAAAGCATGAAGTGATCGAAAAGTTTGAGAGTGGTATGAAGGTGATGGAACTTGCCAGGATGTACAGCAAGAATAAATCAACAATTACACCCATCCTGGCCTAGAAAGAACAAATCAAAGATGCTAATGTTGCAAAAGAAGTAGCTTTTCTAACTAAACAAAGGACACCAATAATGGAAGAGATGGAAAAGTTATTATTATTGTGGACTAAGGAAAAAGAATTAGTGGGAGACAGTGTAGTGGAGTGTATTATTTGTGAGAAGGCAAAGCAGTTGCATGAGGATCTTGCAAAGAAAATGCCTGGAACAAGTGCTGCAGTTTGTGAATTTAGGGCCAGCAAAGGATGGTTTGATAGATTTAAGAAGCGTAGTGGCATACACAGTGTTGTAAGGCATGGTGAGGCTGCAAGTTCTGACAAATGTGCAGCTGAACAGAATGTTCACGAATTCCAGGACTATGTAAAGGCTGAAGGATTCGAACCCCAACAAGTTTTCAATTGTGACGAAACAGGCCTGTTTTGGAAGAAAATGCCAAAGAGGACCTATATTACCCAGGAGGAAAAGGCACTGCCAGGACACAAGCCTATGAAAGACAGGCTTACTCTTTTCTTGTGTGGTAATGCTAGTGGGGATTTCAAAGTGAAGCCTTTACTTGTGTTTCACTCAGAAAATCCAAGAGTGTTCAACAAAAACAATGTCATGAAGAATAGATTGTGTGTGATGTGGAAAGCTAATCATAAGGCACGGGTCACAAGGCAAATTTTCAAAGAGTGGGTTAATGATGTGTTTGGCCCAAGTGTAAAAAAAATACCTCCTGGAAAAGAAATTGCCACTCAAGTGCCTCCTGTTACTGGACAATGCTCCAGCACATCCTCCAGACTTGGAAGACCAAGTGTTTAGGGACTTCAGTTTTATAAAAGTGAAGTTCTTACCTCCTAACACCACCACTCTCCTCCAGCCCATGGACCAGCAGGTCATTTCTAACTTCAAAAAACTCTACACAAAAGCAGTGTTTCAAAAGTGCTTTGAAGCGACCTCGGACACTTAGTTGACCCTAAGACAGTTCTGGAGGAATCACTTCACTATCCTCCATTGCATAAGCCTTATAGGTAAGGCTTGGGAGGGAGTGACTTCCAGGACTTTGAACTCTGCTTGGAGAAAACTGTGGCAAGATTGTGCCCAAGAGAGGGATTTTGAAGGGTTTG